CAAATTTTTTTTTTTTTTGAGACAGAGTCTCACTATGTCGCACTCAGTAGAGTGCTATGGCGTCACAGCTCACAGCAACTTCAAACTCTTGGGCTCAAGTAATTCTCTTGCCTCAGCCTCCTGAGTAGCTGGGACCACAGGCACCCACCACAATGCCCAGCCACTTTTTTGTTGGTTGCAGTTGTTGTTTAGCAGGCCCAGGCCAGGGGTTGAACCCACCGCCTTCGGTGTATATGGTTGGTGCCCTACTCACTGAGCTATGGGCGTTGAGCCTATTTACAAATATTTTTAAAAATTGCTCTGAAGCAAAATATATTTAAAATGCATTTAACCACTTCACCTTTTTTTGGTGAGAGTTAGCATCCAGTTTTCTAGAAAACTCCATATTCTTAGCCATACTTCAGAGTCACCAGTCTCTCACCTTCTTTCTGCTTTTTTTGCCTGTTACATCTGATTTTGTAACTTAATTTCTTATTTCAAAGAAAAAGAAATTCTGCAGTAACAGATGCAATTTCTTCAAACAAACAAAAATCCAAACCAGTAGTAGATTTGGTATAAGATATAATAATACCTAACATGAACACGAGAAGAAAGCTGCCAGCTTGCTTTGTGGCACCCTAGCCCTGATAACCCATGTAGACCCTGCAAGCATTTATTTCTGCAGTCAGTCTGGCTTGTGGACGATTCAGCATGACCTCCAAGAATTCCATGTCTGCCCCATCAGGAGCAGAGAATCCCACACTCTGACAAGTCCTAGGGCTTGAGGCTTCACTGCCTGATCTGTAACCAGCTGTACTTTCTTTTATTTCTTTTGGCCAATTGTGGCACACAGTTACAGCTTCACATAGGAGATCTGTTTCCTGCCCAGAATAGAAGTGGTGGGTGGCGGGGTCTTAGTTCAAATGCTTCAATGAAACGCTTTGTAGAGCTGAATTGGCAAGGCTCTCCACCAAGTCCTGGGATGGACAGCAGGCAGCGTCACTGATGTCGTGGTATGGGCGTGCAAGGCGAACCCACAAATGAGGGCTTTCATAATGACAGACGTCCTGAGGAGAGCTGCTTGATGACTTGATGTCTGTTGTGCTGTCCCTTGCAGGAAGCTTCTGTCGAACCACGAAGGCAGGCGGAGGACCCCAGGGAGTGCAGAGAACCTCCCTCTGCAGTCTGTGCTGAGGAGGGACAGTCTACTTTGAGGTGGGTGAAATTAGGACTTGGGGTTACTAAAAAGGTATTTTGGGGCGGGCTTCATTATGGTGGGTGAACGCTCAGTGAATATGGCCAGACGTCTGGTTTTTGCCAAGCCCGAGTCACTGCTAACTGCATGGTTTCCAGCATCCCCCGTGCCCTGGAATTTTGAGCAGAGCCTGTGCACCCCACGTACCCCACATCCCTGCCTAAAAAGAGCGTCCTAAAGGCGGAGACGCCTTCTAACACCATGGTGACATTTTTGGTTCTTAAAATGGCTGCTGTGTGTTCCTGACAGTGAGACTCTTTATGGAAACACAAATGAGAAGTTCGGTTTAAGCTGCTTGAACCGAGTCTTTGTCCCGGGCACCTGGCTGAAGGGGAGCTTTGGCCACCTAGCACACAGCTGTTTCTGGCCCATGGTCCTGGAAGTACAGTTGCCTCTAAGGCCTGTCAGTCAGAAAGGAACAGGCAAACCTTCCTAAATTGGACTTAGCTAATGAGTTTATTTTGAGGTTTGAAATAGAAATCAAGTCGGTTGGCTCCCAGGCGGCAGCTGTGGTGGACTGCAGCCATAATTCAAAAATGGGCACAGTAGCTGTTTCACTGTGGTGTGCGTGGGGTTTAGATTAACTACAAGGAAGGCAGGAGAAGAAAGTGTACATCTCTGCAGAAGACGTGTCACCTTATTTCAAAAGGCCCGGTGAAGGGGTGGAACCAAGTGCACAAGACACGGTTCCAGGTGCAGATTTTTCTGTTGCCCTAAGAACCTTGTGTGACTGGTGTACCATTCAAATCAAACACTGACCTCAAAACTCAAGGTTCTGTTGTAGAAATCACCACTTTAAATGTTTGCTTTGAAGAACCTGGTGTAATGGGGTCTGATTTCATTTGGCTTTGAGCTGAGTGCTATTAGCCTTAAATAAGAGTATCAAATATTTATGTGGCTCTGAGGCAACAGGACTGATACTATGTGTGTGTGTGCTTGTGTAAGAAGTCTCTGCAATTACTTAATGGTCTTCATGGCTAAAACAAAGAACCCTTGGGTAGGAAAGGCCCATGAATAATCCACCTACAGAATTTAGCCGTGTCTAAGAAGCACAATTACAGCTTTATTACTGTGGATTCTGAATGAGTCACGTGCTGAGTGCCAGCTGTGGTCTGTCTTCAAAGCCGGCTTCCCGGCACTGCTACCATCGTGAGGGCAGCTGTGCAGAGCATGTGAGCCTGGCACTCGGGGCTCTGCCACGCAGGCCCTTGCTCTGCCTGGGCTGCAAGCACTGAGGCTGTGTAGACGGCAGCATGGTGGCCAGAGTGTAGCTATAGAGGGGGTTGCCATGAGCAGCTCTCGTGTGCGTGCTGTGTGAGTGAATGTCACTGTCAGTACTGAAAGCCCAAGAAGCAAGGGGTGGAGCCAGCTCTCCATTTGTCATGGGTGTACAACCATGCTGAAGAAATTGGTTCCAGAAGCTCTCCGCTTCTGAGCTACAAACCCAGCAATTTTCAGAATTGTTTATGTGCTTTTAACAGGGGAGAGGCTCAATGAAATTGTAGAAGATGCATGTTGGAAAGTGGTTTTCAACTTTTTCCAGAGACTATTTAGTGTTTGAAGGATCTGCAAGAAAGAATAATATACTTAAAAAGTTTAATTTGGGAGTAATAGAAATGAAAGTTCAAGCAAAGGGTTATCTTTTACCCACCAAAAGCAAAATCTGTGATACAATGTTCTGCATAAGTTTAGAGCAATGTAAACATATCTGTGCAAATAATATAAATGACTGATCTCCTCATCGGCATATGATAATAAAACGTGTTTGCTGTTGTATTCTGTTTGGGCAACAGAAGAATGTTGGAATAGGAGTTGTTTTTGTTGGTTGTACTTGCAGATCAACCAGAGAGAAAATGTTTTGTGAAGTTGAAGATCCCATGTTACATAAGAAGGCAAGGAGGGCAGCGATTCTGCCCCAAAAGGACCTCAGTGCAGAAGGAAAGGAAAGACTCAAATACTTAGGATTGAAGTGATGGCACATATTTATAATTTTGTTTTTAAGTTATGTTGTGCTTCGGGAGCTTGGAGGAGAGAGAGCCAGGTGACTTCTGGCTGGGTCACAGGCAAAGCAGATAGTGTTTGAGTTCAAGACAGCCTGAATCCAAGGATGCAGATCCAGTAGTTTGCCTCGGTCTGGTTTTTCCTGTCCTGGGCAGCCCACCTGCCCTGCTCAGATCATCTCACCCTCTGCCCCACACAGTCCCACAATCCCCTGCACCAGACCCACCACCTCACTCCTGAGTAGTAGGGTCTGCCCCTTGCAAAGGCTCTCACACACTGACCTGAGATCCCTCGATCACTGGGTCTATCTGTTTCCTGGGGCCAACATGATAAATTGCCACAGACAGTGGCTAAAACTACCGAAATGTGTTTTTTCACAGTCCAGAGGCTGGAAGTCTGAGATCAAGGTCCTGGCAGGGCTGGGTCCCCCTGAGGCCTCTGTTCTTCAGATGCAGACGCTGTCTTCTCCTGTCCTTACGTGGTCGTCTCTCTGTGCATGTCTGTGTCCTCTTCTCCTCTTAGAAACACACAGTTCCTCTTGGGTTGGGGCCTCTCCAACTGCCTCATTTTGCCTTAATGACTTCTGTTTTTGTTTTTGTTTTTTTTTGCAGTTTTTGGCCAGGGCTGGGTTTGAACCCACCATCTCCCGTATATGGGGCTGGCGCCCTACTCCTTAAGCCACAGGTGCTGCCACCTTAATGACTTCTTTAAATACTTTGTCTCCAAATCCCGTCACTGGGGGGTTAAAGCTTTGACATACTGAATTTTACATGTCCGTCCATAACAGTGGGGGGAAGGTCCCTGTTTCTCCCTCTCCCTTTGTGTTAGCTAACTCTGTTTGCTATGTCAACTCTCTCAGAAATTGTCATGCCATCTTTGTGCTGATGAGCTTTTACATTCACAACTGGCATGAAAACCCCTAAAATGAAGGGAAGAGGGGAGCTGCCACCATGTGGGCAGCACAGAAGAGGAGCATTTGGCAAAACCTGTCTTGGGGGCTTTTTTTGCAGTGTAATATAAGGTGTAAACCTTACGATTGCACACACCTTCTGGTTCAGTAATTCCACTTTTAAGACTTTACCTTCTAAATGGATGTCCACCCCTAAACAGTGGTGTCCTCTGCAGACTAGGACAAGGGACAAGGGGTGTGTGTGTGTGGGGGGGTGTTGGCTCTTGTAGTCACATTACACAAGTATTTGCCACAACTTCACCTGTCCTCATTGCCTGCTAGACTGGAATGATGGTTCCTAAAAGACCAGGATTTTACTTCTCATTCCTCAACACCCTGTACCTGGCACAATTCCTGCACAGGTTAGGTGCTTAATGAGTTGTTGGTTGGATGGATGACTGACAAATGGAAGTATGAATGGATAAATAGACAGGTGGATGGATGAGAGAGAGAGGCGAGTGGGTAACTAAATGGATAAGCATGTGGATGGTTGCATGTGTGTGAGGATGGATGGATATTACATGGATGGGTGATGGACGGATGGAAAGAAGGGTATGTGGAGAGTTGGGTGTGTAGATAGAGGGATGGTTGCAGGGAAAGATATGTGGATAGTTGTGTGTGTGCATGAATTGATGGATGGATGGAAGGGTACCTGGATAATTACATGGGTGTGTATATGATGAATGGTTGACTAGAAAGACACGTGGATAGTTGTATGAGTGCGTGAATGGATGGTTGGTTGTAGCGGTACATGGATGGATGGAAGGGTACATAGACAATTGCATGGGTATGTGGGTGGATGGATGGCAGGTAGGTAGGAGGGTATGCGGATAGTTGCATGTATGGATAAATGGAAGGGTACGTGGATAGTTGCCTAGGTGGATGGATGGATGTAAGGGTATGTGGATCATTGCATGGACAGTTGCATGAATGATTGGAAGGATGGGAGGGTACATGGTTAGTTGCATGGGTGGGAGGGTGGCTGAATGGCTGGTTGGAAGGGTACATGGCTGGTGGCATGGGCATGTGAATGGATGGATGGGTAGGTGGAAGGGTATCTGGACACTTGCATGGATGGAAGGATGGATGGATAGAAGGGTGCATGGTTAGTTGCATGGATGGGAAGGTAGATGAATGGATGGTTGGAAGGGTACATGGCTACTGGTATGGGCATGTGAATGGATGGAAGGATATGTGGATAGTTGCATGGATGGATGGGTGGTATGTGGCTATTGGCATGGGTGTGTGGATGGATAGATGGACAGATGGTTGGAAGAGTATGTAGATAATTGTATTGGTGCATGGACAGGCATGTGGACTGTTGGATAGAAGGAAGGGTGGGAAGATGGGTGGATAGGTGGATGGGCATATAGTTAGAAGCATGGGGGCGGCGCCTGTGGCTCAAAGGAGTAAGGCACCAACCCCATATGCTGGAGGTGGCAGGTTCAAACCCAG